AGTTGGTAGGAAGGTACTGGCAGAAGACTGTCGCTTCCATCTCTGGCCACTGGGATTTTGAAGGTTTTGCTTCTATACTGGTAGAGCAAAGCATTTTTCCCATACAGCTAGCACTGCTATGGGATGACTTGCTCACAGGAGCCAGCAAAGCATTTTTCCCATACAGCTAGCACTGTTATGGGATGACCTGCTCACAGGAGCTGACACAAACCTTCTCTGTGTATTTTAATGATCGCTTTCTTAATTTGGGTTCCTTAATATATATTGTAAAGATAAGCAAGTAAAAATGCCTCAAAGCTAAACGGGGTCCAAAGCAGCTTCCTTAAATGGAAAAAGTATTACATTGCAGCTGATGCTAAAAGTTTATCCTGAAGCTCTGGTATCTTCCATGTTTGTAATAACATTAAGGAATTGACCTAGTCATACAATCCAATTTAAGACAATTTTTTTCCCTTTTCTAGCATTGCTGTTTGGGCAAGAGGCACTTTGCTTCCTTCTGAGGCTGGGCTGGTGACTACAGGCGCAGAGGTAATGTTTGCAAACGCAGAAAAAGTATGCATGCACCCAATGTTCTCTATCTGCAGGCCAGGCCTCTTGTGCCCCATTTCTACAGTGTGACCTTGGTTGCACCCAATTCCTTCAAAACACGGCTATTGCATTAAATATGTTCATTTTAAACTGATATATATTAAATAGAAAATGACTTTTCAAAGGAGCACGTGACTTGCCAAGGAGCATTCAGTAGGCCAGGTTAATCTAGGCCAATGGAAGCTTGGCAAAAGTTCAGGAAACATACCTTTTGTTCCTTACTGACTAACAGAAAAAAAAATAGCTCACAGGAATTCTTCCTGTCCCCCCCCTCCCCCCAAGGAAATTCCAGACTATCAATAAGTTCTGTTAAGGGAGTTAATTATTCCACTTTGGAATTAGCGTCCATTGGATGCTCTTTGTACTTTTCAAGAGCACCACAAATGGCTTTCAAAAAGTCAATGGAGCATAAGAAACTAAACTGCAACGGTGTTGCCAAATAAGCCAAGTCATTTCATCAGTCTGCGTACTGAATTTAACATGGGATCATTTCTGAATGGATCAGTCAGATTCTCGTGTGGAAAACTGGCATGGAAATGTCCCAATTTACACATGCAGAGAATCTGGCCTGCTATTTCTGCTTCCTCTGGAGCAGAAGAATTTTATTTTATTGTAATTTTGGATACAGTTAAAGACAGCAATGATGGATTTATTTAAAATATAAATTCAGGAAGGCTGGATCAATTCTCATGAGAATGCAAGGAATTTTTTTAAACATACAGATGTGTGATTTGCATGTAAATCATCAACACATGGTAGAAAACAAACCATAAAAAAAAGATTCATCTAACTTCCTATATGGAAGACATTATTTCCCCAGAGCTCTGAGGTTACTGTCAAAGCTTATGCAAAATATGAAAGTGTGTACATTCTATGTACATCTAATACTTGTTATAAAATACCGATGTTTCAATGGTCTGACTCTCTAAATTATTATTTCTGCTAAACTGTACTTTGTTTTCCAATGAAGACAATCACCGTAATCAGTTCAAAAGTACATCTAGAAAAGAACACAAAGCTGAAAAGATAATACAAAAACCACTGTCCCCCTCTTTTTTTTTTTTAATAACGTATCAACATACAATCATAAAGCAGTTGGTAACAAATGAAGTCCTGTATAAAACATTTAGTATTAAGACAAGTGTACCTTTGCATAGAAAGTGGCTGCTGACCCTATTAAAAAACAGATTTAAAAGATGAATTCTTTACTAAGTGCCAAATCGTCAAGTTGATACGAATGCATTTTGAAACCATGGCTACGTTTGTACACAGCAAGCAATTACAGAGGTCTGTAACTTTCTTCAACTGTTATGACCCTGCATGTGCCAATCTTTCGGACGTATTCCTCTGTAACGTGGCTTTTATGAGATGCTTGCTATGTTTCTTTAACAAGCTAACTAGTCTTTGGATGACCACAGAACCTTCTAGGATGGAAAGCTGACCCGATGCTTCTTCACAGAATGCCATGAATTGTTCTTAAAAACACTTGCTCGCTTCCTATTCACTACTTCTGGGAATCTAGGTTTTAAAAAAAATGTGAGACTGTATTCTCTAAGACCAGAATTCAAAAACTAGCTAAAATGCTAGCATTTATCTTATCATGCTTGCTGCAATATGATAAGGTGCTAACTTTGGAAAGTAATTCTACACTCCCTACTTGGGCAAAATCTCCACTGAAGGAAAGTGAGTAGGGAGTGCAGAACAGCCCTTTGTACCATTGTTTTTAAAAATGCTGCCACTTACAGTTACCATTTAGTGGTGAATTATTTGTTCAAGTAGACGGTGTCTCAGTGAAAATGCCTAGATAAAAGAATGCATATGTACAAGATCAGAAAAGGACCCCTCACCTCTGATTTAAAAAATAAATAGCTGGTTTAGATGGTTATTAATGGAATCTCATTTCTAAAGGAACAGGAAAGTCACTTTTAGGTATTTGTCTTCTCTTTCAAACGGCTTATCGGTAATGGAAACGCCTTTCAGAGTTCTGTGACATGCATTGGATAGCTCGGAGGTGGATGTGATGGCAGTTTAATATTTAGGCGCCTGATATGGCATCCATGGCAGAGCAAGTGGCCCTCTAACGGGTAACAGCGATGGCCTTCCTCATCATTGAGCTGCAAGCCACAATCCTAGAAGAAACATATACGTCCAGATTAGTGAGTGATTCAGGTAGGTCATCTGACAACCATGTTGATCTGTCCTGCAAAACCCTAAGAGCTCCTTCCTGTGCCTCCAAAGCCAGCAACCTCAAGAGTTGTTGATAGGTGGACTCTGACTAGCCCCTGTTAAGCAAAATGACATCACTGAAATCAAACCGGACAGTCTATAGTAGTACCCTGCATTTTTTTCCTCGTTGTTTCCCATTCTGGTCTCTTCTTCATCTAATGAATGTTGATGCAAATCAGACAAAACCAGGCCAAGGACTGACACTGACACATACGACCTGGAAGAGGTTAAAATAGGGAAGGAGCTATTTCCACAACAAGGCAGTGAGCAAGACATGGGGGAGCATAAGTAGAGAATGAGCGGAGTGGGGAAGAGAGGGAGATGAGACATGTTTTACTTCTGAAGCAGGGCTATACTTTCTCTAATTTGGAATTTAGAAAAATAAATTCTTCAAGGCCAAGGGTCCATTTTTAGTGCAAATATGTTAGTACCTCTGGGACTGGTACATAACCACAGGGACAACATGGGTGAACAAGTGGAGGAACAGAGGTAAAATGACAAACAACAGATAATGATCCTGCCTGCTGACTATCATCTACAGTGCAGTAGAGACAATCCTGGTTTTCAATTGTCATCATTACAACTTTAAAGGCATGTAGAAAGTCATGGCAGTTTTGTGCTTGGATTTGATGTTTCAAATATGTTAAATGCTTAAAAGTTGTTACTGTGACCAGTCCTGACAAACCAGAAATTCTGTGCACTTAATAGAAAGGGGAAAAAAAAAACTGAATGGACATACAGGTCTTTTTAGTATTGAAAAGTTTTTAATTGGACACAAAGTACGATTTTTCAGCTTTCATAGCTCAAGTTAAAATCCTCAAATTTTACAATGCTGAAGTAAGAATGAAAAATGGCTTTTAAGTAAGCTGGGGTATTATTTTAGGGAGGCTTTAATCAAAGTTTCTGCCAGGGTAGTTTTCTATACTGTATGTTGTTACTATATGTTATATAATAATTTTATAGTCCTTTATGTAAGATTTAAAATTCAGTTCCTCATTAGAATGTAACAATTTCAGATACCCTACAGATCTGCCAGGTGTTTATACCTTTTTCCCTCTCCAAATTGTACTCCTTTTCTGCAATGAGAGGCAGTGAGAAAACCTGCCTCCTCAGTGGATTTTGATTTTAGAATGGGGGTCTATTGATCTGTAAACTGGCTTGACCGTCTCAGCCCAAGTTACATGGTTGCACAAGGAAGAGATGATACAGAAAAGCAGCAAAGTTTCCAAACTGACTACTGACTTTGCATGGCCACCAGGTGATGATGGTGTTAACGGCATTTCAGAAACAGCTATGTAAGTTGTCATGGCCTTTGCAAAAGTCTCCAGGCGGATACCTCAAAATACTGGCACTAGCTGTATTTGGAGACAGCAGTGACCCAAGCGTGTACAGTTTGAGAGCCCGATTTGAGACCATTAGGCAGTAACCTACCCCGTGAACACATGGCTAACCCCCTGATTTCTGTACATAAATGCACTCTGCCGTTCTGGGCAGATGTAGAGGCAGCTTGATTTGCCTCAAACTGGAAGCAGAATGGGGAAATGAATAATGAAACAGAACTGAAAATAAACCCCCATTGGGACATTCTAATATAAAGTCAATAGCCTGAGAGAGAAGGGGAGGGAGCTGTCATCTTAGGTGAAGCCTGCACAAAGCAATAGATGGGGGGAAGGAGGAGGAGGGAAGTACAGCTCTCCAAAATGCTGCGATTTCCTGTGCCAATTTCTCTTTAAAATTAACAGAAAAGGATGGAGTATCACGTATCTCTGCTGGAAGAAGATAGCTGAGTGGAGGGGGTTTTCCTTACATTTAGGTTCATACACATTTCAAGATGCCCTGAATTATGTTATTTTATCCCTCAATCAGAAGGCTTTTTGTAAAACCTTTTTGTGCAAAAGCACATGGAAGAGAGTATTGTTGCACTTTTGCCTCTGGTGCTAAGACAGTGAGGTAGCACAGTTAGGATCTGTGTCGATATTTGCATGTTGTATCAGAGCGCCAAACCTACAGCAAAAGGGACGCTTTGGGTTGATCCCAAGTTCGTTTGTTTCCCTCCTCATGCTCCTGGATGCAGAGCATGAGTAGAACTCAGCTTTACTCTTCGAATCAAAAGCACTCATCCCACAACTTGATCTGCCCCACTGAACATTTAAATGTTCTGCACAAAAAGAAACTACTCCCAAAAGAGTGACAGAAAGTCAGTGGTATCCCTGTCTCTTTTCCAGTAAAGAATGAATATTCATTCAGCACGGAAAATACACAGATCCCCTTGAAAAGCCCTGCAGTGTAAGAGTGAGGGTGCTTCCCTGCACAGGCAACGTGAATTCAAGTCTCCTTGGCTCAGAGCTACACAAGCAGTATCCAGAAGTCAGGGAGAAGAGAACTGGCACCCACTCTGTTCTCTCCCCATCTGGCAGTTTTCAGAAAATTCAACCCAAACAACCAAACCCAGCTTTTGAAGTTAATACACTGGGGGAAAAAAAAGAAACTAATTTGGTACTGGAGATGGCAGCACCACTTGCAACCCAGGGAGCACTCGGGCCTTTGCCTCCCTCCAGGAGCGGTGGGGCAGAGCCTACCTCCCCAGGCGTGCAAGAGGCAGCAAGCGCACCCTGGGGTGCGAGTCAGGCACCTACCACGAGGCTGGCAGTTATTAGCAAAGCCTTGCTGTGGGACAGGCCAGCAGAGGCACCTGCTGCTTACCTCGCAGTGATAGCACTCCACGTGGTAGTCTTTGTCCATTGACACCACCCGAATGGTCTCCTCGGAGCCCTGTTGGGGAAGCAGAGAGAAGGTAAAAGCAGGCTTGTAAGTGATGTTTTCCTCAATCTTCTTTTAGCACCCACCCTTTTGTTTCGGAGAGCTATTTCCCTGAGGGATCCCCTCTTCCTCTGCAGAGCAGAGCTCTGTGACCACTGGTTTTACTGTTCAGCAGCAGCATAGGTGTCTGACGTACCTAAGCTGCAGAGATCATCTGGCAAGCGTAGCCATAACTTCATCCCCAAGGGATAAATTAGTTGTGAAATCAAGTAAGTTTCCAAGAGCACCCAGGATCTGAACGAATTACCAGCCAAAAACTATGACCTGTTGATTGGGTAACTTTTCCTTGTAGACAGCCTGACCTGAGTTTTCCAAGACCTTATTCCCCTCAAACCATCTGCTGCACAGCTATTTTGCACATGCACATGTCACTGTATGTACCCCATCGGGATTTACATATCAGTCCAGCAGGTAATTACGTGCACAGGCCAAAACCTCAGCATGAGGGTGGATGCAGCGGAGTTGTGTAATTCCTGGCTGAGCCCCAGACCCTGCAGA